CTGTATTTCTTCCATTGTATGTCTTTGGCTCCTTTGTCGAATATCAGCTGGCTGTAGGCCTGTGGATTTATTTCTGGATCTTCTATTCTGTTCCATTGGTCTTCGGGTCTGTTTTTGTGCCAGTACCATGCTGTCTTTGTTATTATAGCTCTGTAGTAGAGTTTGAAGTTCGGCATGGATAGTCCTTGGTGTGAATTTTTGAACATTAGCTTTACTCATCCTTTCTCATAATTTCCCTTCATTATGACATTCTAATAGATGGAAATTTTAAATACATATTCCCCTTAAAATTATTTCAATGTTGTAAATATACTATGACCATTTAATTGAAGTATATTAGAATTTGAAAGTATCTAAGAAACATTTAGTTTATATGTTGCCAAAAATAACTGAAACAGTAATTAGAAAGTCTTTTACTTTCCTTCCTTCCTTCCTTCCTTTTTTCCTTTCTTTCTTCCTTTCTTTTCTTTCTTTCTTTCTTTCTTTCTTTTTTTCTTTCTTTTTCTTTCATTTTTGGCTTGTTTTAAACTTTACATGAATTTTCTAAATTAAACCTCTTAATTTGTGACACATTATTATGATTGATCCACAGAAATCTTTCTTGACTTTATTTTTCCTGGATGACTTTTCTCCACTTTCCTAACTACATACATTCCCCGAACATTCATCATAATACTTGAAATAAGTCCAGAACTGTACTTGTATATTGAACAGATATACAATATTTTGAGTATGTTTGAGCTGTAAAGCTGAATCAATTATTTTATCTATCTTATTATTCTTGCTTTTAAAAATGAGCATTATGATTTAAAGTCCCTCCCCCCAAATACTGTGTACTTTATTTGGCTCTGCCTTCCAGTAACCATTCTATAGCATACACAGCACTCCATAGTCCTTCCATGACTCTCCAAGCAGTGAGAAATCAGGGTCAGCACTTCTCCCACATCGTTATTGCTCATGTCTGTATGGTCTGGATGTAGATGCAGAAGCAAGCTGTTCCTTTTTGCCTATGCACATGCTTCATTTCAAGAACCCAACTTTCACTCAGAACTTCTGTAGCATCTGCACAGGACAGTCTGTGTAGGGTCATTGTTTGTACAGGCCTGCGTCACAATGTGCTATGGTCTACTTCTCTATCAGTTGTCTTTCTTCTAGTGTAACATGGTATCTTTTGTAAATTTTCCACTTCCAAGATTACTCCCAGTACGATTAATGTAAACAGTTAATATTAAGCAGTTAGGTTTCTCCTCTAAGCTGCTTATTTATGTGCTTTTCTCAGGCATACTTCTTCATATTGACTTTAGGTTCTTTGCATCTTCTAGATATTAAAATACTTTAAATATCCTTAACATGAGAATAACTGATGTAGGATAATTCCTGTGGTAATTATCATAATTATGTCTTGGAATATGTACCTGTCTTGAATCTGTTACAAACAGGAGTGATACAAACATGAGTGAAGCTAAAGGTCTTTATGAGTTGTAAAGGAAATAATTATAAAGAAAATGGAAGTGTAAGCCTAAGACAAAAAGAAAATTAACAATGAATTGGTAGGCAGTAACACAGAATTTGATAAGGAAAGAGAAGAAAGAACAAGACCAAAATAGGACCTTGAAGAAGAAACTAGAGTGGCAATATAGCAGCAGGGATGTTAAAGAAGATATGATCTAATAACACATAAGGTGCCTTCTCCTTGACTTTAAAAGTGCATTGTCTTCTTGGGACACTAATACTGTTGTACCCAGGTCGCAGCACCCCCACCAAGAAGACCACCGAGAGTCAGACTTTACAGCTGTTTTAAGGTTTTATTTAGACTGGCTGCAGCTTGGGCCTTGTCCTACACTCCAACACAGCAGAGCCTAGGAGGAGAGCCCCGAGCTAAGGATTTGCAGGGCTTATAAAGGCAAACAACCAGTTGTTTGGATTACCACCACGTGTTGCTCTGCTAGCTGAGATAAACAAGCAACAGTCACTGCCTCATAACTCTTCAATATGAGGCATCCACTATGACACACATACCCACATAAAACACACACGCACGCACGTCCACACAAAGAAGATGAACATGAAAATGCCTTATTTCACATGAAGCAGTGCATGGTTTGGTATGCTTATAGATTTATTCAAATGCGACCTCAAAATAAATGCACAAATAAAATATAACCCAATTAATCAAAATGATTCTTTAATATAGGTTTTTTTTACTGAAATAATTATCCACATGAAGCTTATATGATCGTGTGTGTGTGTGTGTGGTGTGTTTATGTGTGTATGTGTGTGAAGCTTTCCTTCTATAACATATGACTTATTCCCAATACTTAGCCGGGTGACTGTTATCCTAGCTACTGTAAAGGCTGAGATCTAAAGATCATAGTTCAAAGCCAGCCTGGACAGGAAAGTCCCTGAGACTTATATAACCAATTAATGACCAGGAAACTGGAAGCAGTGCTGTGGCTCAAGTGGTAGAATGCTTGCTTTGAGCTGAAGAGCTCAGGGACATCAGCTAGGCCTACAACGAACAACAACAACCAAAAAAAAAAAAAATCCCAATACTTCTTTCAAGTGATGTTAAAGATTTTTATGTCTATGACTACAAAGATATTGTTTGTTTTCCACTTGAATGGAATGTATTATTAACATATTAAAGCTATATTTTTTTGGGGGGTCCAGTTGTGGGACCTGAACTCTGGGCCTGGGCGCTGTCCTTCAGCTCTTCAGCTCAAGGCTAGCACTCTACCACTTGAGCCACAGCGCCACTTCTGGCTTTTTTCTTTTTGCTTATGTGGTGCTGAGGAATCGAACTCAGGGACTCATGCACGCAAGGCAAGCACTCTACCACTGAGACACCTTCCCAGCCCTAAAGCTATCTTTCTTTTTAGCACCTGGGAAAAATAAGACTTTGGAAATTGTGTTGAATTTATAATAAAATCAAATACTAACACTGACGTTGATCTTCATATGTTACCAAATACAATTTTTAATTTATGTGAATTTTTGTGATAATAAACATATTAAGAGATTACTATAGAATGATCATTAATCTCCAGAAATGCTACATCGGACTGTTTGAGGAGATAGACTTGGTAAGGCAAAGTCTGGTTAACTGAGCAAATGTCATAATAATATGTCATAAAGATATGAACAAGAAACAGAGAAAAGAAATTGAGTCTTAAAGAAGACTTAGCTAGTCTCTATCCATTGAAATAAGACAGAAAAGTAGCCATGAAAATTAATTGAAAGGATATGACTAGATATATGCATTAATGCAGTAGGCTCAGACCTAAAGGTTAACACGTGAAATGATGGTAATAAGGGAAGAAGGACATTATAAAGGAGCCTGTTTAACAAGCTGACACTTGATTTGTTCAGGATGAGAAGTAGCCAGCTGGAGAAAGTCCCTCTAGGAAGAGATAAGAGCAGAGGTCCTAAAAATAATCAAGCTGGGCATGACAGAAAGAACAGAGAGAAGGAAGATCTGAATGAGTCTTTTATGAGACAAGGCCAAAGAAACAGTCATGAATCCAGCCGTGTGGTAAAAATAATGATGAAGACGGATACTTTTCTGGGTCAGCATTGAAGAAACCTTGATAAAAATTGGTGATGTGTTAAATATGAGAAATATAAATAATTGACAGTTGAGGATGGGGTAATTGGAGAATGCTATAGCGTGAATTAGTATGTTGTATTTTGGGAAATAGAAACATTGAAAGACACCCAGAACTTTGAGCAGAGATTCATGTAATTGGTCATTACAATTCAGAAGGCCTAAAACAGATGTGGAAAATATTTGCTCTATACTTCCAAAGCCAAGAGTTAAAAAATCACAAATGCGACAAACCTTCATATCCTCTTCTGAGTGATTATACTGAATTCTTTAGGGAGAAAATTAGCTCATCTTGCCCTTTAAGATGACCTATGAGATGACCTCAAAGCCATGTTAAATAGGGTCCAGTGTAAATAATGGAAATAAGTTCCTGACAGTCACAAACTGATTTAGTTACTTTGCATATTTGAATGGATGGCTTTCATGATACGATAATCCAAAGGAAAAAAATCCAAATAGGTAGGGGCAGGGCTATAGATTGCTGTTTTATTACCTACTTTCATTTCCTTTGGGTAATACTCCAGTGCCATTTCCTCTTTTTTTTCCTTACAGGTTAAGACAGATGACAGAGTGGTTAAAATGGACCTGGGCTTGCTCTTCCTCAGGATACGCAAAGCCGATGCTGGGACCTATTTTTGCCAGACAGTAGAGCATAGCTTTGTCCATACGATCCGTAAAATCACCCTGGAGATAGTGGAAGAAGAGAGAGTGGAGGAGATGTTTAATAAAGACTACGAGGAGGAAGGGCCGCACCGGATGCCGTGTCCGGCCCGCAGTAGTATCCCTCAAGGAACAAAACCATGGTACAAGGAATTCCTGCAGCTGATCGGGTATAGCAACTTCCAGAGAGTGGAAGAGTATTGTGAAAAAGTGTGGTGCACAGATAAGAAGAGGAAAAAGCTCAAAATGTCACCTTCGAAGTGGAAGTATGCCAACCCACAGGAGAAGAAGCTGCGCTCCAAACCTGAGCACTATCGTCTGCCCAGGCACGTGCTGGACTCCTGATGGGTTGAAACCACCTATTGAACCACCCATTGGCTTTGGAAAAAGTTTTACAATGGAAATCGAAACAACAGCAACAACAAGAAAATAATGACAAAGCATCCAACTTCTTTCCATTGCTCTTGCACAGAAATGACTAAAGGTGTTACAATAAGTTATTCTACATACTCATCTGACTGGATAAAGCTCTCTTAATATTAACTAATTTTTAAACAAGTCATTGTTGAATAGCTTCATATTATATTTATCATTAAAAAACGGCATAGCTGTAGTTTTGTGTTTGAGGTGTATTTCCAAGGAAATTATTACATTAGCTTTGGGGGAAAAATTAGAACATTCAAGAAAAAAAAGAGAATTTCAGAATCATGAAAAATATACAACTAATCTTTGAATTTTTCATTTCCATCATGGTGTAAAATATGCAGAATATCAGATATATTCACATTTTCCTGTAAGTTTTCTGTACCTGTTAATTATTGTATCAATGTCTAAGCCACGAGATTTGAGTAGCAGGTGTGTGTCTGTGGTTGCTATAAATCATGAAAGGAAAATATGGTCATTTGAGGCCTGTGCTCTTCACAAAACATTTACCAAACCATATTGGTGATATTTCTGGTATATAATGTTAACATGTCCTTTACATTTCACTCCAGTGTGGAAGGGTGGAAGTCAAGATAACTTTCTCAGAAAGATATCAATGAATGTCAAAACTTGAGTTACAGTTAAAATTAGAACTAAAGATGTATTCTGCCCTCTTGTGGTCATATGTTGTCTTATGTTTCTTTTTCTCTTCTAGTGAGCTCTCTGGGAAAGATTTGAAAACAGATTATAAGATCTATCTAGTTCATTTTCAGAAAAATCAAACAAAACTTTAAAGTATTTATACTTGTATCATGATTGGTGATCAAGATAATATGGTAATATGTATGACTTCACACGTCAAATATAGAGATATTGCAGACCTGAAATGCTAGTAACACTTAAAAGTTTATTCTTTTGAAAGAATTGTACCTGAAATCTAAAAGGTATTTTGGAAGCATGTTTTATTTATAGCAAAAATATTAGGCATTTTGTCTCAGATACTATTTTTTTCAGTTCTATTTCAGCAAACAGGAAAATTGTTTCATGAGTTCATTTTACTACTGAGATTTTCAAAGTATTATATTTACCTTTTTTCCTTATAAATAGTATCTAAATTTGGTATTTTTGAGAATGTTCATTTCTTGAAGTATTCTTCATATTTTAAAGAATTAGCAGTTGCATTTCTAAAGCACAGATTTCTGAGACATTTTATTTAGATAAAATTAAAAGCAGCAGGACCACACATACAAACAAGTTATAAGTATTTATTTAGATGGTAAATTTAGATATTTATTTCAGTTTTCAAAGTTATCTTGTAAGCTATATAATTAAGATAAGATGTTGAAAACTTGTAATGATTTACAATTTTATCCTAATATTAATAAAGATAAACATTTCAAGTAAGTATAAAAAGCTTGTTCAGATATGTCCCAACTTCTGAAAGCTCTAGTAAGCACAAATGCATTCATAATTGACTTCTTCTAAAAAATCCACTTGCTATTTTCCCTAAGTCCACTGGAAGTCAATACTTCCCATTGTAGTAATCAAAACACATGTTAGTTTTTTGTTTTTAATTTTGCCCTATATGGAGAAATGAAACCATAAACACACATCATAGTTCCTTAATAAAATTTATGTTGAAATGCTCATTGAGCAAATAAAGAAATAATGCAATTTTTGGAAAAATATTCTTCCATTAATGCATGAGAAGAAAATGCAGACATTTCTCCTTTGTTCAATTTTAAAAGACAGAGCAAGACAGACATAACATTAGTGTTAGCATTTTAATCAACACACATATAAGCAGTTCGTGATGATGACAGTGTTGATTGTCAATGCATGCTTTATGCCAAAGCGATAGGGCTGATAAAAACATTTTAATGTGATATAAAGCTTACGAGTTAAATACACAAGCAAAACTGTTTGATTAAATTAAGATTAGTATTAACCAGACAATTAGCATTTTATTTAAATACTAAAAAGGGATGTGGGAAAACTAATTTCACTCAAAGATGGCATATGATTTGTATGAAATACAAAAATGCTAGGGCATGGCACAGGTGGTATAGAGCCTATTAAGCAAGCATATGGCCCTCAGTTTATGCTAGTTTGCCAGAAAATGAGAGAGATAAAAAGAGACAGGAAGATACAGAGAGACAGAAAGGAAGGAATGAAGAGGGAGGAAGGAAGGAAGGAAAAATATGAAAGGGAAAGAAGGAAGAGAAAGAAAGAAGGCAAGAACAAAAGAAAATTCTGAGAAACAAGTTCCAAATTGAGAGGGAACACTAAATTATGTGTTTATATTCAATATCTTATATCTTGCTACCTGTTTTTCCAAGGATGAATTGTGTGTTCTACATCTCTCATTTTCTCACATGCTCTCCCACGTTCTCTTCTGACACACAAACACACATACACATAAACATGTACACACAGGCATACTACATTCTTCAAGAAAAAAAATTAATTGCCCTTTCAAAATACAAACCAAACAGTCAGTATTGCTCTACCATTTGTGAGGATTTGAAACTCCTGAGCATTATTAGGCTTTTAGTTCTGGCTGGGGTTAGAATTCAAATTCAGAAGCTCCTGAGAGAAATGAAGAAAACTGTATACAATTGAATCAGGGAGTCCTCTGGCTTTGGCTCAGGAAATTACATGTTAGCTATGTACAAGAATTGGAGGCATTAAAGAGTTCTTCAGAGAGGAAGAGAACTCTTATCCTCTTCTGTAAAATGTACAGCTGGCTTCTCTACATCAACTCAGCTCACTACATCTCCCAGAATCTCCTCTGCTCAAGGAGAGGACCTATGAGCAGAATGAGCACCACAGGATCACCTCTTTTTTCAACACTGTTTCATTCATTGAGTAAGGGAGTCGAGATTATTAGTAGTAAGAGTTTCAAGAGCGCTTACTTCATGGCTCAGGAGGTTTTTACCGAATCAAATGCTTTACATCACCATCTCTTCCTTTTAAGTTAATTGCTGAATATTTCAGTGAACTTCTCAACTTGGTAAAACAGGGATGAAAAACAGAAACACTAATAAATTTACTAAGTGAGGGAAGAGAAAGTCTTTGTTTTGTAAGTGGCATCCCATATAGATGTATAGAGATACATATAGTTTTTTTGTTTTGTTTAGTTTGCAAAATTAGTTAAATTGTTAGACTATTTTTACTAAATATTTAACAGTCACTCTAAGGCAGTGGGTTTTGTAAATCTTCATAGTGATCATGAACATTTGTAAGATTTGTACCATAAAATAAATCATCATGAGTGTTATTGTTAAGCATGAAACAAACACAGCAAGTGTTGTCCTTGAAAACAAATATTTCCTTATGACATCTTTAGCCTGTCAAATATGCTAAGCCAAGTATTAGCTTACAGATAATTGTGTCCTAGGTAGAATGCTTCTCTTAGGATAGTAACTAGTCCATGTTGTTTTGCCTCATAGCAGAATATCACATTGGGTTATCTTCTAAATGACATGCTTGTTTTCCAAGCAAACAATTGCTGCATTTGATTCAGGCTTATTTAATTGGGTATATTTTATTATTTTATTTTGAAGATATCTACGGATTTTGGCTTTTATTATAAGTTGAATGTTTTCTGTTTGTGCTTACTCTACATTGATATATTTTTGCACATATTGGCTGTGGTATTATTTTCACTGGTTGTAAGAGATGATACTTATTATAACATCACATGTTGACAAGCTGCAGGGCAACATGGTCAAAATGTTTCTTTGAGCAACTATGGCCCTGTGATTCCATACTACAGAATTTGTCTGTACTATACTGTACAAATTGTATTTTGCTTGATTTAGATGGAAGAGAAATAAATATTCACTGAACTCTTAAATGCTCTGGAGGACTACTTTCTGTTTTTGCTAACTAAATTCAAGTTGTACATGTCAAACATAAATGTAAATATATAAAATTCCACATGCAGGTTTAGTTTAAGAATATAGGGGATATTTTCACTTTTCTGTCCTAAGTCAGAAACAACCCATTAGTCTCATTATTTAGCAGAAGTTGAATTTTCTTATGCTATACAATAGTTCCAGAATCTACTGCCAGAGATTCTTCTCACAACTTCATCATCCCGATGAAAGATTAAAAAAAAAACAAATGCCTTCCAAATATTAACTATGGGCTCTGCTGTTTTTCTAAGACTCTGGGGAGACCGTTTTAAATAACCTATAAGTGAATTTCTATGTGAAAGTTTCTGTGTTTTGTGGGGAATAAGTTTAATGGTCTTACTAGTTACAGTACATTTTTGAGATTCCAAAACAGATTGTAAGCAAATACAGCATGTAAATTTGGGTGTCAGTTTGAGGGATTTTATGGGTTATGGCATCATAAAATATCTAAATCTTCAACAATTTGTTATTTACTATTGGTCAGAATACACACCATTTTCCTTCTACAGTATGAAATCTATATTTTGTGATCCTGTGCTTTACTAATAAAATTATATAATAATGGGAATATGACCAATAGAAACTATTCTTTAAAAATTATTCTTTAAAAGTCATGTGAAAATGGAATTTCCTGAGCTATTTTTAGTCAATCAGAAGTGATATTTGCAGATACATTCTTGGTAACAATCTGAAAATTAGCTTGGAGGTTATTTTTAAATGTGAGAATGTCTCATTTATTTAACTAATTAACTCCTCTTAAAGAGGACTCACATTGGGATGTTGTGAATTTACTTATTCCGGTTTGTCATGTCCATATGTAGAGTAGCAATCAAAACATTTCTAAACAGTAGCTTAGGACTCTGATTCACTTGGCCACATTTTGATATCTCCCTAAAAGAGGAAGAATACTACAGACTGTCTTCAGAGTATCCATTAATAAAAGATTCAGACTCTTTTTTGAGGACATTATTATTGGTATGTTGCATATCTCTTTATCCTTCAAGTTTTATTCTCCCTTTCTGGTCCTTGAAACAACCCATGTTTATTTTCATTTACACCTGTACACATAACACTATTCTCTTGTTGATAGGTGAGGGTGTTTTAGTTCTCTCAGGCTAATTAAACATAAGTCAAAATTATGTACAAAGTCTTGGGAGTACCCCTTGGAAAAGATGTCTTTCTGATGGCAGATAGGCTATCATAGATCCCCAGCTGAAATTCATGTCAAGAGTAGCAGGACGCTACATTTTTGAACTTTCATGTTAGAGACAATTTTTTTTATCTGATCTTATGAAGGGCTTAGGTACCTACACTATATATAAATTTTATGCCTCCAGTAGAAGATAATAATATAATAGAGACCTTTGGAAAGTCAAACATGATATAAAATGATATTGATGATAGCCTACTTTAACTGGAGTAAACATTTCTTCAAATTTAAAAAGAGCATTTTTGACTATTCTTTATTTTATTACTCTTCATTTTTCTGTTATTAGCTTAGTTATATTGTCAACCTATTACACAAAGCTAGCTTCCCATTATATGAGATTTGTGGAGGAAATAAAAATTCAGAATTCAGGTTGTACGGAGGAGGACTTGTGATGACATAGATTACATGATTTCAACCAGAGGCAAAGAGTGTTACCTCTGTGTGTGAGCCTGACAATCCAGATGACACAAATGACATTTTATCTTATTTAAACCTCTGTGTTTGGAAGTCCCATTTCTTCACAATATAGCTTATGTCCTTAATAAAGAAACTGGAAGTCTTTCTGAGCAAAGTATGAATCTACTATGTCAAAAAATAATGTGGGAGCCAAGTGCTGTTGGCTCACACTTGTAATCCTAGGTACTCAGGAGGATGAGATCTGTGGATCATGGCTTGAAGCCAGCCTGAGTAGGAAAAGTCTATGAGACTTTTGTCTCCAATTAATCACAGAGAAAGCTGGAAGTGGCACAGTGGCTCCAGTGGTAGGAATGCTAGCTAGTCTTAAGCAAAACAGAGCTCAGGGACAGCACCCAGAGTCCAGAGTTCAAGTCCCAGGACTGGCAAAAGGAACAAAAAGAAAAAAAATCACCACCACCTAAACAACAACAAAAAAACCCACCATGGATCAGGTAGAAGCTGATTTAATTTTAACTCTGAAGCTCACATTTTCTTTTTTTTTTCTTTTTTGTACTTTTTATTGTTTTTTTTTTTGTGAAAATGCTGTACAGAGGGGTTACAATTATATGGGCAAGATAATGAGTACATTTCTTATCAAGAATTGTAGCCTCCTCCTTTGTTTTCCTTTCCCATCCCTCCTCCCTCTCCCCCCACCAAAGTTGTAAAGTTTATTTTTCCACATAACGACTTGTACATCTCATTGTTGCAATAGATCCACCTGTATCCCTATTTAAACGACTTGGTTTTTCCCTTCCC